AAAAAAAAAAAAAAGGAGGACTAGATAATAGATGTCACAGTTCTTGTTCCTTGCCCTGAGATGCGATTTTGAGAGTTATGAACAAGCCGGACTATAACCGTGATTTAACTCTTTCTCTTTTTGACAAGAAAATAATTAAACAAAAACCTTCAAATACTTTGCACAAATAAGGTTGGATTTGTTTGTTCAGATTGTGAATGGTTTGTTTTGTCTTTTTGTTTTGTTGGGTTTTTTTTTCCCTTGACTGGTTTTTATAAAGGTGCAGTTGTCCGACGAGCTGTCCTCTTCTCATTGAACAAAAGTGCAGCAACAATGATCCCATGCACCAGTCCCCTAGGCATTAGATCAGACAGATCCAAATTAATGTGTGGTTTTTAGGAATCTGACATTATTACTAGAATTATCTTTTCAGTTAAATATATTTTATAGGATATATACAGCAATGTATGCTCTGTTGATTTTAATGAGTTGTGACGTCTGGTATTTTATGTGCTTGGGTATTTGCCCACATGTAGGAATATGGACTCATCCCCTAATGGAAAATAACATAAAGGAACACTGTAAAAAATCAGAAGTTAGAATGTCATTTAGCCATCTAGAGATGACACAGTAATTAACTATTGACACTTGTGAATAAGCTAGCACAAATTAATCTTGACACATTTGCAGACGAGTGATATCTTACAGTGAACACTTTGTAATTATATTTCAAAATGAAAATTAAATGACACTTAAAACTAGGTTGTCATGCTCAATGAAGCGAGCATGTAGCTCAACCGATAGGCAAATAAAATTCAGAATTTGAGCCACATGGTGCTTGTGTACCCTACTTTACTGTGTCAAGCCTATACATCAAGACTGTGCTATGGTAATTGCATTGCAGGGTCTTGGGTATATTTTCTGTCACTGCTCCAGCTAAGAGGAACCTTTGAGATTAGATGCTCCATGATATATTTCTTGTTTTCATCAGGAAATGCCTATTCAAATGGTGCCACGTTGTACATGCAGGTACAAAAAGCTGCTCAGGAGCAATCAGAGCCCTGGCAGATCTGTTCCTTTGCACATGCAAACAAAATCCTCCTCCTCGTGTTGGCTGTGGTTTACTGTGTTAAAGTGCAGCCAGGTCATCAGCAGCTCCAAACAATCCTGCATGTACCTGTGAGAAAATGATACAGCACTGAATGGCCCATGATAGTGCTCCATGGTCTGCTCATTCCCCTGTGAAAATGCACACTGTAATCATCTTTTACCTTTGCTGGGACTTCAGCAGCATAAACCTGACAGGCATTATCTTTAGTTACAAGCACTGCACTTCTCAGATGGGGTCACACAATGGGTGTGTTGCTCGTTAAGAGTTGATAGCTCCAGCTCTCCTAGAGGATTTAAATATTCCACGTAGCAGTGTCCCCATTTAGGCTCCTGTCACCAAGCAGAGGCACCACAGCTGGGCACTGTGCTCACAGCACATCCCTGAGCTTCCAGGAGCTCCCCTGGGCACACGAATTCTCTTGGAATTCCCTTTTTCACTCACACACAGGGGTCTGCTCATTCACTCCTCACTCGCTGCATTTTATTGACTTGCTGGGAGGTTCATCCAGAAATGTTTGAACACCAGGCTCCTAAAAGGAGTTTGAGCAGCAGCCATGGGTGTAGTGATCCATGAGAGCTGCTCGAGTCCATTTCCCTGCAGCCCTGGCCTCCATCCAGCCCCAGAATCATGTAGAGTTTCATTTGCCTCCTTGAGGCCAGGTACAAGACTTAAAATACGTATGAATTTCATGTCGATTTCTCTTACAGAAGTGAATTTTAACTGAACAAACCGAGTTATTTCCATGTGACAATGAGAGGTTAGGGAAATGACAGCCTTGGTCTCCATGTGTGCACAATTACAAGCTGTTAATATGTGACTCCGAATTCCTTATGAGTTAATCTGAACAGTTTTCACTAAAACTATGTGATTGTTTATTTCCAAACCAACCTTGATACATTCCTGTCATTTTTTTTATCATAGAAACATTTTACTTAGCTTTCTCTGTTTATAACAGAGTAAGTGTGCTCAGAAAATGTTGGGGAAGGAGACCAAGAGAGTTTTTGCCAAAAGAGAAACAGTGGATTTGAGTGACCAAAATACCTTTGTCACCAGCTTCTTGCTGTTTTATGTGATTCCTCTGCTCTGGATAAATATTTATAGGAGGGGAAATTATACTTAAGAAATGAAGGTAGCAGAAGTGCTGAGGCTGGGATTTCCAGGAAACACAAATCTTGTGCTCATTTCAGCCTGCTGCACAGTTACCCTTCCAAAGCAGAGGTCCAGTTGTTCCTGTGGCTTTTCCCCTGGGGCTGCTTTCCACATCACCCCTTGCAGGGAGCAGCTCTGTGGGCTGAGGGCAGGATCCTATTTCCCTTCTGCTCTAGCATGCTGATTTTTTTTTTTTTTTTTTTTTTTTGGTGGGAATCAGGCAGGTAGATGGAGAATCTGTAGCAAATTCTCACTGGGCTCTTAGTGTCCCCTACCCTGAGCATTTGCTTTTCTCCACCTATGTTAGAGAAGGGATAGAGTGAACTTTTCTCCTCCAGATCCCTGACTGAATCTACCAAATGAGGGTAAGAATATTTAGATATTTCATAGGACTGTGTGGAGGATGAGCTGCTGAGCACCAGGTACTGCTTTTACACAGAATAAAGCCCTGCTTCTCCAAGCAGCTCCAAGGATGATTTTTGAGATTTGCAAGGGAAGTAATGTGCTGCTCATTGTGAAAGAAGTCAGGGAAGCTTACCCTAGGAGCTCATGCTTAATAGTGAAACATCTAAAAACACCAGCTAAGGCTCCAGTTCAGCAAAGCAGGAAAATGCATTTTTAACCTTAAGCACCTGGGTAATCCCATCCCCATTCAGAAAAGCACTTAATTTTACACATGTGTTTCATTCCCATTGTAGCTAACAGTAATGCATCATAGTTAAAGATCACCACAGGCTCAAATGCTTTGTTGAATAGTGATGAGATTGTTCACATGCACACAAATAAACCCGTGTTTCTGTGCTTTTCAGAGCTAAGGCCTCACTGCTTAAAATACATCCCTTACTCGCTAAGTAGATTTTTATGTTGCATTTAAATTTACCTCTAAAAGATGCCCCATTTAGAAAAAAATTAATATGCTTAATAAAATATAATAAAGAATAACAAATATTGTGTTTTTCAGTCAATAGTATTGAAATTTCAATATCACTATTTTAATTTAATTGAAATTTTATTTCTAATAGATTGCAAGACAACAGCAGCAACTTCTGCAACAGCAGCACAAAATCAATCTACTGCAGCAGCAAATTCAGGTCAGTGTATTTTATTGCTCTCTTCTGATTATATTTCAGTTCCATTTATGGAGAGGGAAGGGTCTAAAATAAAGCAGCTTTACTAACAAGCCCCAGCAACGATGCTCTTTATGGGAGTTCCTTGTGTCTCAGAAAATTATTGTCAGACATCTTTTTTGGTGCAAAGAACTTTAACAGGCAAAGTTTTCTTCTGAAAGTTATGAACTATTTTTAAATCTCGCCATCTTGTCATAATTCTGAAATCTGCAATCGGTTTGACTTGTAGTGTGTGAAGTAAAACCAGAGCCTCAATTGTTGTTGAAGGAATTCTGTGTTCTACAAAAGCCAAATTGAGCCATTGAAGCAGTCCTGGGTCCCTGGTACCAGTCTGCTCATGCACAAAGACCCACAGGTGTCTATACCTGTGTTCCAGGTGCCTTTGCAGTAATTATACCCTTGTGGATCTGTGGAAGTATTCTGGAGATATTTAATTATCTGTACTTGTACTCAGAGCATGCTTTAATTTTGTGCAAGCATTCGTGGGTAGGGAGTGACATGGATGTAGAGGTATTGTTGGCATGTGACTGTATTATCTTCTCTGCTTCCCACTCTGAAAGCATTTCCATGAGCCTGTTCACTGATTGAAATATTTCAATTTGGTCTGACAGATGATTGTACTGCCAATCATTCCTTATAAGCTCGGGCTATCCATTTCTTTTCCTTAATTAGCTGATTGCTGTGTTACTAGATGCCAAAAACTGAAGTTTTTCTTTCCCTCATCCCAAAGGAATGCTTGTAAATGCTTTTGAAAATGTTGTAATGCAGTCTCAGTTACACTTTTAAGGAGTTTATTTAACAAATATAGATGTGTTAATACCTCGTATGAGAGACACAATTGAATTGTAAAGCACCATTGTTGCTGCTGCCTATTAGGAGACTGTGTTCATATTAGGTGTGCATCAAGGATGAAAGAGATATTAAGAACAGTGAAAAGAAAAAATGCACCATCTTCTCTAAGTGTTATTTGCAAGTCTGGCTTCAGAAAGCAAAGAAAAATATAAAAATCTTAGCATAAAAGCTAAGACTGAAACCTAGCTAGGTCTACAAAACAGGAGAGTTATCTGTATGAGAAATTTCTAATTTTTAAAATTCCTTTAAAAATTAGGAAACAGAGGAATCATGACTAGGGGTTTTTTGTTTATTTTTGGAGAATTGTAGGCATGTTTGGCTGGGAGTACCTGCTCTGTAGTAAAAAGTTCAAAGGTACTTTATGTTTCATTGCAGTCAATACTTTCCAGTAGCTTTAGTCTTCCACTGTCTCCAGGGAAATGTGATCTTAGAATTCAATCTAGAATAGATTGCAGGTTCATTTTTTCATTCACTTCCATCTTTCCTCTTACATAGTGCTGAACTCTCCACAAGTTTTCTTTCCCATCCTTTCCTAGATGTATGTGCAGTGTTTCAATGATGATTCTCTTCCTCTGAGCTTAGTATAAGAAAAACAGTTTCTTGGTGACTCGTCCCAAATTCTTGCCAATATATAGTACTCTTATGCCATAGCTCCTCAGTGGTTTGGCCTCTTTATTTATTTATGATTTTTACATTCACCTGAGTTTAATCAGTGTGTTTGAGGCAGTGAGAGTTGTTTCTTCTCCCAGCTGGTCAGCCAGATTGGTAGTGGGCATCTGATGGCCCCAGGAACACTGCAGGCTCCAGTAAGAAGCCCTAGGCATCCTGGGCAAATGCCCAGTCAAACATCCAGTGGTCTTTTGGGGAGATAACTAAAAGAAAATTTCCTGGGAGATTGTCTTCTAGGCTAAACACCAGCTCACATAGTCCATTTGCTTGTGAGCCAAGTGGTTCTGCTTTGTTTATTTGTTCTGCCTGAATTTTGTGGCAGGTTTGGCAGCCAGAAGTTGCTTGAGAGAGAAGTTGCTAAGTTGCTTCTGCAGTTTGTAGTTTGCTGCTGTAAAATTGTTCATGAGAGTTCCAGTTTGAGATGTGTAGTTCCTGAAGGGCTGGAGGCAGGGGACAGAAATAATGCTGTGCTGGTTCTCCAAAATCATCTCCCACCATCTCCCCAGGAAACCCCAGTACCAGTACAGAAGTCACACTGGTGACTTCAAAAAATAGGTAACTGCAGTACAGACCCTGTCTCAATTATTTATCCAGATTGTTCAGATTGTATAGAATTGCTCTTGTAGTGAGCAGTGAAAAGAAAAGTGAATAGTTTCAGGATACAATTTGTCTTTTCCTAAAGTAGATATTTAAAATATATCAGATAAATTGTTCCCTATAATGGCTGTTTGTCTCCATTAACTAAGAAGGATGCCAATGCCTTTAGTGTAGGGATCTGATGTGGGATGAGGTGAATCATGCTCTCTATGTCTCTATCAAATGTTTACATTCCCGGGGCAGTTTTTGGACATGGTAGAATTTGCAGCTCTGTCCCCAGTAACTTAATTTTGAAAGTTTGTTCAAAGACACTCTTGAGCAACAATATTCAGGAAAGAGTGATTACCAACAGAGAATGGTGTGGGCTCTTATCTGTGCTTGCTGTTCGTGGGAAAACAATAGCACCCTTCCCTGGCACTCCCCTTTGGAGGAGATTACAAAATGTGAGCAGCCAGGTGCCAGTTCCATCGGGGCACAGGGTGTTCCCCAGCATGCAGCAGAGGGGCACTGCTGGTGCAATGTTTTCATCATGACACACTCAGTGTGCCAGCTCTCCTCTCCTGAGGTGCTGTGCTCCTTCTTGAACAAGGGCTGCTGTGGATAAGTGCACCCAGTTTAGCCATTGAAGCAATTAGAAGTTGGTTATAATAATGTCATTTAAAATAATTTATATTAAATAATGCACGTTTCCTATTGGGTTAATATACTGAGAATTTACATTACTTAGTATTTATTATTTATTTTGTGCTGAATATTATCTGTTTATGTTACCATTTTAACACCTTGTTTCATTTAATTGGTGAAAGGTTTTTTGTCAGGTTTTTTTTGGTTTGGTTTTTGTTTGGTTGATTTGTTTTGTGACCATTTACTGGAGCACATTACTCCAGACTTGTTATACATCCAAAACGTTGTCAATAATCTCTGAGCAAAGAGGATTTTATCTAGGCTTAGTGTATGAAAACGAGGTAGGTATCTCAAGAGTACAGAGGTCATTAAATGTTCTGCATAATCATCTCATCTTTTCTACATGAAACTAATGTTTCTATCAGAATCTGGACTTTCTCCTCAGTCCTGTCTCTGATTATCAGAAATTTGGCAAATCATTTCCTTTTCCTCCAATTTAAATGTAATGTTTTGAGAATCTTAAGTGAAAATTTTCAAATAAGCGCCGTGTATTATTACTTTTCAGCTCAAATGTTCATAAACACTCTTCTACAGAGGAGTCCACAGAGATGGGAAGAAATCTAGTATGCCAAATTAAGTTCTTCATTCTGCAGAGCTGTGCAGAGAAATCATTGCTTTCAGTGCAAATTAAAGTTGAGAAAATAATGTGGGGCAAATAAGAGCTCACAGGTCAGTCTCCAGGTTGATTAAGATTTTGTAAAATATGTGGTTTTTGATTTTTTTTTAATTAAAAAAAAAAAATCATTCTGAGGCAGAGGGAACAAAATTGGACTAATTCAAGAACATTTCTTAGCCTGTGCTATGAAAGTGAAAATCTCTAGGAACAAGGGAAAAAGCTGGTTAAAGGAGAAATTTGGTAATACATCATGAAGATGTAGAAAAAGGGAAAACATTATTAGATTGGAAAAAGGGAAGACGTGAAGTTCTTAAATGTTTCCAAACCAGGAGTCCTGAAATCCCTGTGCATTCTGTGCCTCATTACAAGGATCCAGTCCTTTCAGAAGGAGGCATGGGGACTTCTTGTGAGCCCACTGGAGGAAAAGAGGTGGATCCCTCTGATGCTTGGAGCCTCTTGCTCCAGGATTTCCATCTGAGAATGGGGGGGGTGTGTGTGGATTTAAGGGATGAAAGTTTTTTAGGGTTTCCCTCCTCCTGTGGGTGGGTTTCATTAGAACAAGTCCTAAATGGTGGCTGAAATCTTTAAAAGGGACAGTGATGGTGGAGCCTTTCTGCAGAGATCAGTGGTGAGGATAACTGTGAAAGATGATCCAAGCTGCTTTTGTCCATTTCCCTTCACCTAATTCCTCTTTACTGTGCTTAATGCCATTGCAGAGCATTTTGTTTGGTTTGAATCAGTACAATTTCCATTGCATAAAGGAACTGGTTTCCTCTGCTCTCATAAGTATTCTGTTTCAATTCAGCCACTAGAAATTATTCCTAATAGTAATTTTTTTTCTAGTTTTAATCTATGCATTCATGCTGTTCTAGTTTCCTATAAATGTCCTTACATTTTCTGTTTCCCTCAAATAGAGTGAACGTGATTACTGTGATAGTAAACAGACAAAAGAATAGTAAGATGAAATTACAACTATTTAAACTGTCTTTGAATAGGAATCATTTGAATCATAAGTAAAACTTAAGAGACTGAACCAATGAGTCTCTCTTCTTATCCATGATTAACTACTGACAATGGAGGTACCTGGTGAGCTGAATAAGGACTATCTCTTTATGAGAAGTACATGTCTAAAGATCAGGAATAATTACATTCCACATTAGCCTTCATGGCCTCCCTGACCTGGTTAATTAATTTTTTGCTAGGATAATAATAGTAGAAATAGATTTAAAGATATGCTTCATCATTAAGTATGTAACTGACCTCCAATTTTAAGAGCTGAACCTTTCATTTATTGCCTTTTGGAGACAGGTTAAAGGTCCTTGCAGAGAGCTTGCTGAAAATGCACGAGCTGGAATCCAGTTATTGTCAGCTTGGTTATGCTCTCTGAGGTTGTCTCTCTTTGTTAACTCTATTTAGTGTTGACAAGCAAAAGCAATGGCAGTGCTACTGTTCCAGCACTAGGGAATATTCTTCTTTACCTTTTTTTTTTAATTTTTTTTTTTTTGTTATTGATCATGAAACTGATCCCCTTCCAGCAAGCTCTGCA